CCAACGTCACCCTGCTTCTTGTTGGGTGTGTGTGAAATCATTTTTAAGCTTTAATGATGTGTAGTGACACACAGTAAGCTAGAGTGGTTAATGTGCAGCCCCACAGGCTGGGGCCCGTGGCTATACTGTGAGGCTGTCGCTAGCACCATGTAGGGCCATGTCCACTGGTCTGCCATGCCCCTGCAGCCAGCTTGGCCCTCTCTGGCCCTGGTTTGCCTGTGGGCCGGGGGGTCCCGTGAAGGAGTGTGAATGGGCGCGAGTTCACAGCCCTGGAGGGTCAGAGGTGTCAGGGATGTGCTGGAGCTGCATCTCACTCCAGAGACCAGGCTGGATGGAGAAGCAGGTGCAAGCCAGGGAGGCAGGGTAGGGGCAGTGCTGGGGCAGGGCAGGGGCAGAGGAGGGCTGGGGCAGGGGCAGGGAAGGGGCAGGGGCAGGGGCAGGGAAGGGGCAGGGGCAGGGGAGGGGCAGGGGCAGGGGAAGGGCAGGGGAGGGGCAGGGGAGGGGCAGGGGCAGGGCAGGGGAGGGGCAGGGGAAGGGCAGGGGAGGGGCAGGGGAGGGGCAAGACAGGGCAGGGGCAGAGGCAGGGCAGGGGCAGGGCAGGGGCAAGACAGGGCAGGGGCAGAGGCAGGGCAGGGACGACCCACCCAGGGCTGCCGAGGTCGGTTGTCCGACTGCGAGTCCAGCCTCAGGGTCCAGCGGGCACTTAGTTGTGCATGTTCCTTTCCCAGCTGCCGGGACCCACTCTCAGGGTCACCCTCGAAGAAGGAGGAGAAATTCCCTGCAGCCCAGGCACCAACTCCCCTTACTCCCCAGAGTGCCCCGGGGGAAGCACTGCGGAGCTGCGGCAGCTTAAGGAGCAGGCAGTGGGCCCCACCGCAGGCCTGGAGCAGCTCAAGATACAGGCGCAGCTGCGCATAGGGCTGTCCCAACCTGGCGGCCCTTCCTTGCACCCCCCAAAGGCACTGCCTGGAGCTGAGGCCCTGCTGGGGCTTCCCAGCTGCTTGCTGAGGTTGGCTGCTGCTTCTTCCTTCCTCCCCAGTTAACCAATGAGCCCACCCTGGTCCAAAGAGCAAGTCTGGGTGAGAATCCCACCACTGACTGACTATCTTGCTGCCCCCCACAGGGACCCAGAGCGCAGCCCCCCACAGGGATGCAGAGACCTCCCCCCTACAGGGACCCAGAGACCAGACCCCCTACAGAGAACAGACCCCACCCCAGGGACCCAGAGACCAGCTCCCCGCCACAGGGACCCAGAAACCAGCACCCCCACCCCCACAGGGATGCAGAGACTTGCCCCCCCCCAACAAGGACCCAGAGACCAGAACCCCCCAACAGGGACCGGGAGACCAGCTCCCCCATGGTGCTAACCCAGGCTGTCTCACACCCAGGGACCCAATGGCCCTGAATGAAGTCTGCTGTGTTTTAACAAGCGTCATTGAATCATTTTTCCTTTAACGCTGCTCACCTGCAGGCCATCGGCCCCACCCCACCGAGGCACCGAAGCCACAGGTGCTGCAGTGGAGACAGGAGTCTTTACCCCGGCAGCTCAGCCCATGCCAGCGTCCTGCACGCTCTTGGTGGCACAGACCCCGGAACTCATTTTAAACAGTGTTTACCAGGAGACACAGACCACAGATACACAGCCCATGTGACACAGAACCTAGTACTCAATTCAGACGACTCAGACCACGAGAACTCAGCCTCCCAAACACACAGGACACATGGGCACAGCTTCGGCTCAGTGCATGCAAACGCACCACCACCTCCGCCACCTGGGCACACGGAGGGTGAAAGTTCAGCCCATATCAGTGGCACCAACAAAGTAGCCCAGAAAATGTGTCCTCATCTTACAGCAGCACAGCTCACTACTGTCACCTCGAGTATTTCACCCAGCAACACAGCCTCACTGTGAATCCAGCATGAGCATCAACCCTAACAGGGAGGCACTGCGTGCCAGAGGTCCTCACTCCATGAAGACGTGGACCACGATACTCTCCGAACCAGGACAGAGACACGAGTACTAACCCAGGCTATCCCTCACCAGGGTACTCAGTCCATAGGACCTAGACCAAGGGTACTCTCCGAACCAGGACAGATACAGGAGGACTAACCCAGACTATCCCTCACCAGGAGTATTCACCCCTCTAGGACCTGGACTTGGAGAAATCTCTGAACCAGGGCACAGACACGGGTACTCACCCGCTATGTCCCTGGCTGATGTCAGCCCTGTATCCCCTTGTGGCTTGTTCAGTGACCGTGTCTGGAAGAGACTGGGGGAGGCTGGCAGGGAGGGACTTGAGCTCTGGGTGCCTCTGCTGCTGCTTCTGCCGTGCAGGCCTCCCTGAAGGGCTACGCTGGGTGTGGTTGGAGTTGTGAGTATGGAGTCTGCTGTGATTACAAGGGAAGTTGTTGATATTTATGTAGAAAAGAAGTAATTAGAGTGAGTTTAAGAGTGTCCTCTTAACACTGGTTTTCCCAGTACCCACGTCCTGGGACGGGAGTGGAAAGGAAAGGCAGGCCCTGGCAGCCCCGGTCATTTCCTGGGACACGGGACAGAAGTGTGAGGTCTGAGTCCGCGCCCACTTGGGCCTGAGCTGCGCTGCTTGTGCTCTGGAATTCAGCCGTCTGCAGATCTGTGGCCGGGGGATGCAGCCTGGGGTCCGGGGTCCGGGGTCCGTGCAGGACCGTCTGTGGGCAGCCATGTCTGTGCTCAGGCTCTGGCCCTGCAGCCCCCAGGAGGCCTGGACAGCCAGCGTTGGGTGGTGGGAGCTGCCCAGGTGGGCCCCAGCTCACCTAGCAGCCCTCCCTCTGGGCCCAGAGGAGCCGGCACGGTGGGCATGAGGGGCTTGTCTGGCCACTGAGCCCCTGCAGCCTGACCTGTCTCACTGGGAGACACTGGTCTTCTAACTGTGGCCCAAGGGACAGGCCTCTCACGTGTGCCAGGCCCTCCTATGCCCCTCCTGCTCCACCTGCCCTGAACAACCACAGCACTCGGATGCCTGCTCAGACTTGGCCCCAGGGACCCTCCAAATTGGCTTCTCTGTCCCTGTCCCCAGTAGCCTCCCCGGATGCCCACCAGGCCCCACCCCTACCCCACCACTGACCTGGTCTCACAGCACTTTGTCTGTCCTCACGGGGTGCTCACCCTGTTCTCTCCCCACCTCCTCTGTCCCCTGCCTCCCTGCGCACATGCTGCCTCTGCAGACATAGGGCCGGCCTCCACCTGCCCAAAGTACCCCCACCCCACCCGCCTCAAAGGCTACAGAACAGTCTTTGGCCTTGAGTACGGCAGGCAGGATTTCCACCCCAAGCTGCCTGTGCGGTAACGGCTCTGTGGAAGCCTCTGGGCTCGGGTGCAAACCCTGGCGGCGCAGTGGAGGGGAAGTGTGACGAGGTGAGACACAGAGGAGCAGGGTCCATGGGGGACACGGGGGAGCAGGGTCCACGTGAGACGCAGGGGAGCAGGGTCCACGTGGGACACGGGGGAGCAGGGTCCACCTGGGACACGGGGGAGCAGGGTCCACGGTCCGCACGCAGTGAACACACCCACTGTTCCACCTCAGGCCTATGCTGGTCCCAACAGCATCCCCTGAGAAATGCAAGCACCAAGGGTCAGAGGGCAAGTGGCAGGACTGGTCAGGCACCATCTGGGCACTGGGTAGGTGCGGAAGTGCCCGTTGCAGCCGGTCTCTGCATGTGGGGTGCATTCACCACATCAGGGCAGGGCCCCGAGCTCCTTCCAGGGTCCCCACACAGGCTTCCTGCAGCTGCCGTCAGTCCCGGTCAGGCAGGTGGAGCCTGTGGGCCCCGACCCAGACCCTTCCCCACAGAACCTGTGGGGGCTCCTTAGCTGCCCAAAGCCCCTGCAGGGGTAGCTCATTCAGAAACAGAGCTGCCCAGATCTGAGCCCTGTCGGGGCCCTCGCGGGAGATGCAGCAGACGCCACTGTGTGTGTGTCTCCCAGGACTGGAGGCCTCCTCAGCTAGGACCGCTCCAGAGAAGAACTGTCAGGGTCTGGAGGCACAGGCGGCCTCTGCTTCCTAGTCCTTTAAGCTGACTAAAGTCATCACGGTATTGCTGTGTGGTAGGTGACACACCAGCACAGAGGCAGGGCGGAGGGGCCACCTCAAGCTGTTCCTCTGAAGAGCATGCACACACATGCACACTTACCCTCAAACACACGTGCATGTGCACACACAACTCCCACAGAGGGACCTGCACACCACACAGGCACACACTCTCACACACACGTCAACACCCACACAACCCACATGCCACTCACAAACATACAGGCACACAAGCACACCCACACAGGCTGGCGTGCACCCACGCTCCATCCCATCCAAGATGCAGACATACAGGCACATGGGCACACACACCCGCACAGGCTGGCGTGCACCCACACTCCATCCCATCTGACACGAGGACACACAGGCACACACACCCGCACAGGCCACCGTGCACCACTTCATTGCATCTGACACGCATACACACGAGCATACCCACACAGGTCGGCACGCACCCACGCTCCATCCCACCCGACACGCAGGCACACGGGCACACTCAAGGAAGGAAGTGGCACAAAAGTCAGATGCGAAACATGGGTTTGGCTCTGGCTCCGTGGTCTGGTGGAAGCTGACGTTGAGCCAGGAGCCCTTTGGGGTGGTCGGGCTGTGGATGTTTATGCTCCAAAACGTTACGTGCAAATGGATATGGCCCAACACCGGTCCCAAGTGGACTCACGAGGCTAAGTCAGTATAGAAACACACAGAGGTTTAATGTTTAATGTTGACTTTCTTTGGTTGAATGATGGGAGGCCTCTCTGCTCAGCCAGGAGCACTGAGGGCAGAAAGTTCATGAGGGGCTGGAGGGGCCAGGCAGAGCAGCCTCACCCCGGGATCCAGGACACAGAAGGGGGCCACACGCTCAGGTGTCCCTCTACCCCCATCTAGGGTGAGAAAAACACACGGGGATGTTATTAACCAGCCTCACAAAGAACCAACGATGCCAAGACTGTATTTTTGTGTGAACAGTTCTGCACCTACAGTGTGTACACAGCACAGCGTGGGGATTCGGGTTCACACCAGCTACGGAAGCAGGTGAAAAGGTGAGGCGGAGGCAGAGCTGCCTGGCAGTCATCCGGTGGCCCGTCTGGTTGACCTGTAAGGACACACGGGGTTTGCTGGGAGGAGCACACTGTGGGTTACAGCGTCATGGTCAAGTTTACCAACACCCCGGGAAGTGGGGCTCCTCATACTCACATACTGAGTGCCAGCCTCCAGAGAGCCCTTCCACCGAGCAGGTGCTGGGAACACTCCCCAACACCCCTCTTCACAGAGGTGCACGTTAGGGAGGCTCTGCGCCTGGTGAGACCTCCCGACCGGATAGCAGAGTGCACCCACGAGTCTGCTGACATTGACGTTTGCAGGGTGAAACACTCTCCAATGAAAACCCAGTGTGTGGGCGGCTGGAAAACACACCGCTACGTGTATGCACAGATGTGCATGGCAGGTGCATGTGTGTGTTAACTATGTGTGCACATGTGTATGTGTGTGACATGCACGTGTGTGTGCATGTATGCAATATGCACGTTTGTGTGTGTATGTGACATGCACGTTTGCGTGCATGTGTATGCATGTGATATGCACGTGTTTGTGTGTGCACATGTGTATGTGTGTGATATGCATGTGTTTGTGTGTGTGCATGTGTATGTGTGTGTGATATGCACGTTTGTGTGTGTGCGTGTGTGTGTGATATGCACGTGTGTGCATGTGTATGTGTGTGATATGCACGTTTGTGTGTATGTATATGTGTGTGATATGCACATGTGTTTGTGTGCGTGTGTGTGTGTGGGTGAACACGTGTCACAGACAAGGAGGAGGGAGGGAGGGAAAACTGTGTACAGTTTCACACCCACGGCCCTCTGGACTCCCTTCCACCAAGGGACGGGCCACTTGCTTTCACAGAAGGCTTGTTGTCATCCACATCTGTCCTTTGAGTCAGGGCTTGGTGCCCAGATGTTCATGGAGATGAGAAAAAGGGAAAGGAATTTTGTCCATGAGAATGTCCCGTCTGCCAGCCCCTCTTCTTTTTGGAATAAACCTTGTTGCCAAGTGCCTATACTGGAGTGGAATCCAGTCCCAACGGTGGCTGGTTTTGGAAGTCGAATCTTCACTAACGGATGTCTGGGCATCTTCCCAAGGCTTGGGCCCCTAAGAGCACCCCATTGGCCCTCTGAAGCCGACAGCCATCCCCAAAGTCCAGAGCGCGGCTGCAGCCCGCAGCATCCGTGGTGCTCTCAGCCCTGCAGGGCTGGGGCTGTGACAAGGACAAGGTTGACAGGGGACACTGAGTGGGCAGAGGTGTGCAGGGGTCCCGTGAAGCTGCAGGGGTGGCTCAGACACGCGACAGCAGTGGGTCCCAAGGGTTCTGCCCAGGGTGAGAATGCTGGGGACAGACCTGCCACCACCACCCCTGGAGCAGAACGCAAGACACACACATTGAACACTGGGAAAGGTCAGGGCAGCCCCCTGCTGTGATCTCGGCCCCGCCTGGCCACACCAGGGGAAGCCAGGACTCCGTGGATGGCATCTCGGGCAGGGCCACGCTGGGGTCTGGGTGGGTCCTTTGATGGAAGCCCCTACTCTGCCTCTGGGGCGCCCCAGGACTGGAGGCCACAGGACAGAAACCAGATGACCTTGTGCAGGGACGAGCACGTGGAACTGGGATAAAAGGAGTGGGCGTGGCCCAGAGCTTTTCCCCGCTGAGGTCTTTCACAAGGAAGGGGCAGGGGTGTGAACTGCTTCCGAAAGGTGGGGTCACTTTGGTGCCCCCAGTGACCTCATGTGGCAGATGGGCCCCCCACTCTGCTCTGAAGCTCCTCCAGGAACACTGTGTCCCCTGCTCCGCCTACACAGTAGTTTCATTTTTCCAGGGTCCTGTTCGGATGTTGCCGGTCCCATCGGTGCCAAACGGCAGGTCTTCTAGCAAGTTACCCTTGGGCAGCCCGTTCTGGCTGGGGCCACCAAAGGGCAGGGACTGTGTCCTCCGCAGCATCTCCAGGTGACCAGGCCCAAGCGCTGCCTCCCTGCCCGGCCGCGTGGGGCAGCTGTAGAGGGCAGGGCTGCCATCGCTGCCCTCAGGCTGGCTGACCATGGGGAAGGGGTCACCCTGGGCACAGCAGGCCAGCGTGTGTGCCCCTGCCGGGCCATCCAGAGAGCTGGGGGGGCTGTCTGTGCGTGAGCTTTGGGGGCTGCCGTCCAGGCTGGACGGGATGTGGTAAGCGTACTCGGGCTCCTCTGCTGGGTGCCGGCTAAAGTAGGGCGGCTTAGTTCTGCCCTGAAGGCACCCGTGCAGGTGGGGGTCGTGCCCGAAGGCACCCTCCTCCTGCGCGTGCACGTGTGCCTCGTCTGCCATCAGTGGCTCGCCGTGCATCTTGGCGCAGCACGGGGTGGCCGGGGACAGACAACTGGCGTGGCCCTGTGCGGCCTGCAGGTTGGTCATCTTGCAGGGTCCCGGTGGGTGCGCGAAGCCCCGTGGCTGGCCGAGGCCCGGCGAATGCAGGCAGGCGGCACGGCCCAGCGCGGCCCCGTTGGCATCGAGTGCGGAGTGGGCATCCCTGCGGGGTGGGCAGCATGCCCACCAGCACTGCCACACGTCCTCGCGCTTGGCGCAGTGGTGGATGAGCACGAAGAGCCCCAGTGTCACGCAGAAGGCGCCGTACAGGCAGCTGAAGACCATGTCCAGGAAGTGGCCCTGGGACACCGCCAGCGCCCCAAAGGCCCACGTGGCCGTGAACAGGAACAGCGTGAAGGCGGCAGCGCGCAGCTGTGCCTGGAAGGAGTGCTCGTTCTGCAGCACCGAGGCGCCAGGGGCATCGCGTGCGGGTGGGGTGCCGGGCCGGATCCCACGGCTGCCCTCGGGCGTGGCCAGCCGCCGCTGCTCCTCGGGCTGTGCGCGCATCTCGTACCTGCGCCCTGGGTGGCGCCGCAGCTGCACGTAGGTGCCCAGGAAGTACACGCAGGTGACCAGGGCAATGACGGCGGCTGGGCCGTAGAAGGCGCCCAGGCTAGGCTCCCAGGCCATCCAGCAGCTGTGGGGAGACGCACGTCAGCGTCAGCTGGGCCAGCACGGCCAGGACTCAGGACTCAGGACTCCTCCTGCAGAGCAAAGGGCGCCGCACCCGCCCGGACCAGCAAGTGGCTTTGCACAACTGCGGCTTGGGGGCCTTGGGGGCTTCTAGAGTCGCTGAGAGTGTGGATGGGAACGAGGCCCTATTGGCCCTACCAGCTTGGGAGGTCGGGGAGCCAGGAAAGTGTCCCAGGTGTGGGCGGAGGTGGAGCCGGGCGGGGGGCCAGGTGCAGGGTGGGCCTGGGTGGGCAGGAGCAGGGACAGAGCCGGGTGGGTGGGGCCGGTGTGGGGTGGGTGGGGCCAGGAAGAGGCAGAGCTAGGTGGGCGGGGCTGAGCAGAGGGCAGCGCTGGATGGGTGGGGCCAGGCAGAGGGTGGAGCCGGGTGGGCATGGCCGGCGTGAGGTGGGCGGGGTCAGGTGGAGGTGGAGGCGGAGCCGGGTGGGCGGGGCCAGGCGGAGGGCAGGCGGGCGGGCCATCCTGGGGCCGCAGAAGGAACTGAGGGCCTGAATCAGGGGTTCCAGGCTGGCTCTGGGCACCGATGGCGGGACGGCTGGGTTCGTTCTACTCTATGGGGTTTCCCTTCTCAGCTGAGTTCCATGATGCTGCCAAATCGCTATTTGTCCCCAGGCCCCTCCCATAGAAGGCTAACCAGGCCTGACTCATCCAGAGGCAAAGATTAGGTTGGGGTCCCTGGGAGAGGAGGGGGCACTGCGCACTCCTCGGGGGCGCAAGCTGGGAGGGGCGCAGCTCTGGGCGAACCCCAGGTCCAGGCCCAGGCCTTGCTGCTTCGTCCTGGTCTCCCCCACTGCAGGTGTCCGGGAGGGACCTCGGACAGAGCCCACCCGCTGCTCCCAGCTCCCAGCTCTGGGCACCCGGTACTCACTACGCCGCGTCCTCGTCCTCTGTCCCGTAATTCCTGATGTTCGTGGCAGCCGTGACCCCACAGATGATAAAGGGGACCCCTCCACTGACGAGGTAAAACCTGCCGGAGTGGAAGGCGCTGACCCCCTTGCAGACGCTGCCTGCATCTTCCGGGGACACGCTGTCCCTCCCCCACTCCGCGGGGCAAGGGAGAGCGGCGGGCGCGGGCGGAGCAGGAGGGGACCAAGACTCCCGACCCCCGACCGCCGACCGAGCAGCCTGTGCCGGCCTCGCCTGGCCTCCCGCGGGCCTCTGCGCCTGGAGAGAGCCCTGGCCAGGTCCCGGAACAGGTGGGCCCCGGGAGAGCTCTGTTAGCCGCTGATTTCTCTGCAGCTGCAGGGAGCCCCTGGCTGCAGGCGGGACCGCTCCCCGGGTTGGCGTGGGGTCTCACAGGGAGCTGCATGTCCCACTGAGTCTCCAGGTCATGGCCCCTCCCCACGGGTAGTGCGCGTGGCCAGTGACCCGTGGTGCCCCGTTTTAAACAGCTTTAAAGCCCCCTTAGCCTCAGGGGAAGAGGTTCAGAGGGCGGAAGTCTCTGCTCTCTGTCAGACCCAGGAACCCTGCCTTGGAGGGGCAGAGTCTCATCCTGACAGGCACAGCCCAAGCCCAGGGCAGGGGCTGACCTTCCCCTCTGCAGGGCCTGGCAATCGTGCTGAGGGCACCCAGGGGTCCATGCATGATGCTGTGTGTCCCGGACCAGGTGCATTTGCTCACCGCCTCCAGCCCCTGGCCTGACCCTGGCTGCCGGCCCTATGGAGCATGCGTGACCTAGGGGCCGGCTCAGAGACCATCCCCCATGGGTGCTGTCTCCCCGGCTGCTGGGAACACCCAGGTCGGCCACGGACCCCTGCCCCACGTGTTCAGTGGGCTCCAAGGTGCAGGGGTGGGAGGGGTGGCCCTGGGTCTGGTAGTTCTCGGGGACCCCCTAGGAAACCTGTGCTTCCCAGACTCTATATCCCAAGATTTCCTTCAGAAATAAAGATGAAATAAAGACACTTTCTGATAAAAATAAAACTAAGAGCACTTGCCATGTATGGACCTGTATTTCAGGAAATGCTAGCTGAAATTATTCAGGGTGGAGGGTAGTGGACCCTTCCGCAGGCACCGCACCTGTGGAAAACCCTAACCAGACCGGCACGGTGGGCCTTGGGTGGGGGGTCCATGCTGTGGACTTCATCAGAACAGCAGGGAGCCCCTGGGCTGCTTGGGGGAACTTGGACTGTCCGGAAGGAAGGAGGACACCAGAAACGCTGAGGGATAAATAGAAAAGCTTTGTCTCCCCCTTCTTAATTTCCTCCCTCTTGCAATGACTGTTTCAAGAAAGAACTTGAGCACTGCCTTGTGTAGGGTACGTGGGGATGGTGCTGTGCCCAGCATCTGTGGGAGGAAAGGTGGGAGGCAGGAAACAGTCCTATACAGTTGCAAGTTTTCTGTAAATGTGTTATATGAAGAGAACAATTTTACTCTACATAGGATGTGGAAAGGTTGTGGATTTTAATCCCTTAGAGCAACCATACGAAACTAGGTAAAAACTAGGCTGGACGCGGTGGCTCACGCCTGTAACCCCAACACTTTGGGAGGCCAAGGTGGGTGGATCACGAGGTCAGGAGATTGAGACCATCCTGGCTAACACGGTGAAACCTCGTCTCTACTAAAAATGCAAAAAATTAGCTGGGCGTGGTGGCGGGTGACTGTACTCCCAGCTACTAGGGAGGCTGAGGCAGGAGAATGGCGTGAACCCGGGGGGCAGAGGTTGCAGTGAGCCGAGATCGCACCACTGCACTCCAGCCTGGGCGACAGAGTGAGACTCCGTCTCAAACAAACAAAAAAACTAATAGATACATTAAAACGAAATTTTAAAAAATGTTAAAATAATCCAAAAGAAGGAAGTAAAGGAGAAATGGAAGAATTCCAAAGAGCAAAACAATCACTTAAAGTGGTAAAAACAGAAAACAAAGAGTAAAATGTAGACTAAATCCAACCAAATCAAAATTCCAATTAATTTTAGCAAGCTAAAAGCTCCAATCCAAAGGCAGAGATTATCAGGATAGATAGTAAGCTCATGGAACATGGTGACTAGAATAGAAACACTGAATATAAGACACAAGTAGGTTGAAAGTAACTGGATGGAAAAAGCCATGCAATGCCAACTGTGAGATTAAGAGAGCTACAGCGGTTACACCGATGCCAGGCAAAGTCGATGATAAGACAGTGAGATAGAGGGGCCCATGGGATGCAGGAGTGTCCGGGACGGACCCACGGCGCACAGTTGTGGTGCAGGACGGACCCACGGCGCACAGTTGTGGTGCAGGACGGACCCACGGCGCACAGTTGTGGTGCAGGACGGACCCAGGGCGCACAGTTGTGGTGCAGGACGGACCAGAGACAGTCCTTTGATTTTCTGAGAAGACATCCAACCACCCCAGTGGATGGGAAGCAGGAGAAACCTGCCCGACGCTGTCACCCAGTCAGTCTGGCGGTTTGTTCCTGCCGAGCGGGGCGGGGGCCCGGGAGAAATAAAGACCAATGTCTCTCTGAAGGTGAAGACAGGGAGGAGTGAGCCGCACATGACTTTGGCAAAGAGTTGGCTGTGAAGCCCACAGGTGGCAAAACAGGACATGGAGTGGGAAAGCAGACCCAACTTCTTATAGAGGCCACGGGCACCTGGCCAGGACAGTACCATCCAGAGCTTGTTCTAGCAGGGCCTGGGCTCAGCTGTCCACACCCGGCCGGCCTGTGATGTCAGCACGGGCACCTCTGCTCTGCTCCCACAGTCAACGGTGGCAAAGAAAGCCCCCCAGGGTCCTGCTGCTGCCAGGCACAGGGATCCCTAGACCCCGCTCTGGACACACAGGAGGCCACTGTCTCCGAGCCAGCCCTCCACCCTCTGCAGGAGATGGAGCTACAGGTTCTGGCCTTGAAGTCCCCTTTGGCATCCTCAGCAGGCACAGCTGTGACAGGGATGGCTCAGGGCGTGCTTTGTGCAGCAAGGCCAGCCCGCCACGCTCCTCTGTGGCCCGTGGCCCCAGTTACCCACAAGGAGCCGGCAAGAAGGCCTGCAGCAGTGGCCTCTGCGCGTCCAAGGCTGGATGATGGAGCAGCTGACGTGTCCCAGAGGCCCTGCCTGGGTCTGGCCAGACGATGCAGCACCGTGAGCTCCCCTGCCTTCCTGTGGCTGCAGGTCTTTTCCTGAGGACCCCAGTGTCCTGCAGCGGGCGTGGAGAAGCTGCTGGCAGCTGCTCAGAGGACACGCCGCCCGCTGCAGCCTGTGGGAGGGTCTGTCTGTGCCTGGCCGGCCGTCTCCAAGCTGCCTGCCCGGCCCTGCCTGCCAGGACCACCGGCTCCGGGCTCCGTCCCGGCGCGCAGCGCAGGTCGGCCGGCAGAGGGCGCTGGAGGCCGCCGCTTTTCTCGCCGCCGCCGCTGGGCAGTGACTGCCGTGGACTCGCAGGCGCGGGGCTGGGGCTGGGGCGGGGCGGGGGGCTCTGCTGGGTCCAGCATCCACCAACCACCGCCCGACGTGGGCCACTCACAACCGCCTCAGCCCACCTGTGTCCGGGGAGTGGTTCCTGCCCGTCTGGCAGCTGGGAACACCCTCTCCTATGGCTCTGAGCCCCAGTCAGGGTGGGGGTCCAGCTTGTCCTCCTCCTCTGGGCGCTGACGCGTCTGTCACTCAAGCGTCCTATTCTGTTACCTAGAATCCCATCTAAACCCCAGGTGGACTCTGGGCGTCGAGGAATGTCCAGCCACCCCTCTGTGCCCAGGTCCCAGCGTCGGGACAGTGGCTCGCCATGCCAGGCCACTCACTGGAACATCTCCCGGTTACATGATTTCCGGGGCTCAGGACAACGCCTGCGTTAGATGAAGGTTTCTAGAAAGGGAGGGCGGATCTGAATCTCGAGAAATCCTAATGGCTTCCCCTTGGGAGCTGTGAACCTCACCCAGAGGTGTCCAGAGGAGCAAAGTGGGAGCTGACTTACGGCAGAGCACATTGCTCAGAGGCCGGGGAGGGTGGCCTGGCTGGGGAGGGTGCAGAGCTGGGGAGGGTGCAGAGCTGAGGAGGGTGGCCTGGATGGGGAGGGTGCAGAGCTGGGGAGGGTGCAGAGCCTGAGAGGGTGGCCTGGCCAGGGAGGGTGCAGAGCTGGGGAGGGTGGCCTGGCCGGGGAGGCTGCAGAGCCCGGGACCAGCCCTGAGTGCACCGCCACGTGACCCAGGGCCAAGTGAGGGAGGAGTGACCATCAGTGCTGGGGCAGGTAGATGAGCGTTGCACAGGAGAACAGGAGCTCCGTCCTATGTCGACTGAATAACGCCCCCAGATATCCATGTTCTCTTCCCTGAAACCAGTGAAGGTTTCACCTCACACGTCAAGAGGGACATTGCAGGTGTGGTTAAATGAGTGATGGTGAAGAGCGGAGACTGTCCTGGGTTGTTTGGCTGGACTGACAACATCACCGGGGTCCTCTTAAGAGGGAGGGCAGAGATCCCAGTGGAGAGAAGATGCAGGGCTGCTGGCTTTCAGGGTGGAGGAGGCCCCAAGCCCAGGAGTGATGGCGGCTGAGGCAGCCCCAGAAGGTGCCGGGGGAGGGAGGCAGCCCTGCCCACACCTCGATGTCGGTCCGGCGGGGCCCATGTTGGACTTACGGCTCTCGACTGTCGGATGATCCCCCTGAGTTGCTTTATCCACTGAGCTTGTGGTGCGGCCCCAGCGGTGCGTGAACCCTAGCCACTCACAGCTACAGGATGGACATGCTGCTGCTCACAGCGGGTGACTGGGGAGCCTCGGGGAGGAGCCATGGTGCGGATGTGGCATGAGGATGGGTGCCTTAAACCATCCACAGAAGCACGTGCCCCGCCTGGGTGCTGCCGGCTCTGTGATCCCTCCTGACACACTTGCCCGCTGCTGATTGGAGCCGATGGTCAGAATCAACGCACGCTGGGACATGGGGAAATGGAGCAAGGATTCAGACCATGGGTATGGTCCCGCCACGGCTCGGTTCCCGCCATGGCTGACACTTCACACCTCTCCCCAGGTGCAGTGGCACCATCAAAGCCCGAGCGAAAAGG